GAAGTATAGAACTTATTCCATTACATCCTGCACACAAATTCACAACTTTCAAATGGAGTTCAAGATTTTTGAAGTTAGCAACTACGTTACAGACCACCCTCCCACAACCACAAATATCACGCTTTAAGAGAAATTCTTACATTTTACGCATTTATAAGGCATCATGTAATATGATCATATTCATAGCCAAAATTGCAGTATTTAACTGATAAGTAGAGTATAAAAGATTGATATTGTAATCTTTCTTATTCCTTCTCTCATCTTATGTTTGATCAATGTAAGAACTCAAATATTTGAGCGATCCAAGTATCCAACTTTCGTGGGTGAGACAACCCTTTGAATTATAAGGTAGACAACAATATATTTATCAATAACGAAACAATTAAAAAAAACGACCTCAAGAAGCATTGTTGTAAAGTGAGAAGTAGGGCAAGGTACTACTACAGTTTGTAGGAAGTGTTGGGACAAGTGTCGGATATGGGTTCCGGTGAACCAGTAACTTCTATCTAGCACAATTGTTTTTTAATGCTAGCTATGACAAAGAATTTTGAAAACTCTGTAAGAAATGCTCTTTTTTTAAACCTTGAAAGGTTTTTAGGTGAAAATTGGAGGATTACATGTTTTTTGATCTGTTAATCGAACCATATCATAAACCACTGGAATAACCAGTAGCATACAACAATGATATTGTTTCTTGCTTGTACCATTGAATTTGAGACAATGACGTAACATTTTCTGCAAAGAATAATTTCTATCGAGTATTTCTTATGCCCAATGTGTTCTTTCACGCTAATTTCGAAAACTCTTTTTTTTTTTTTTTTTTGCGTTCTAAAATTGTGCGGTTTATGTGGTTACGGCGTTGTCTTAAAAGAAGGGCCGTTTTGAGAAGTACATTTACGCCCTTAATTTGCTTTATTACCAGCGTTATTATAGCCCATTTCTGTAAATTTATTTCGTTCTAGGGCGGTGGCTGACACTACTTTGATTACTTTGCGTTCTTACTTGTCTGCCATGGCTAATAGGTAAATATCGGTGAGAACAAGAACATATAGACAAGATGTTCTGCATGTTGCCACCCTCAAAGTCTCTACCAAGAAACGACATCGTTGGAGGCTTTCTTTCTGTTTGCAACATTGATTCATGAATGAGGAATCTCAGTAGGTAGCTCTTTAGTTAGGTTGCTATTTTTGAGTTTCTTTCTTGGTGATCCTAATTGTTGTTTTATGTGTTTGATGTTGTTGTCCAGGTTATAACTTTTAGTTAATGGCTGCAGTTGAGTTACTTTAATAGGATGGTTTGCCTGATTTAATAAGTGTGACCTTAGCCAATTGCTAAACTACTTAGGAGCTTACTAAAATTATAGTCTATAATTGAGGTTCTTCGTGTTTTGTTCTTGAAATTGGTAGGTTGAATCCTCGATTTTATTCTCAGAAAAGTCTTTGCTATTTTGTAGTATTTTTTATTTTTGTATTTGTGTTCTTTATAGGTTCTTGTGCGTATGTTATCTGGCGTCTGAGTCTAGAAGCTTTTTTAGGCAACTGAAATTACTTAGTCAAAATTCTGTTGATGGAGTTGGTCAATTTCCTTGAAAAAAGGGTACATGTGTCTTACAAAGCAATCAACTTACGATTCGTCTCCACAATAAACTTCTTTTTCTTTTTTTATTTGCATAACTTAGACAATTAATTTGTTGATAGTTAATACTTGATACAACCTTGAACAAGATTATTCAAGCAGACTTAAATTGGAACATTATTTGTTTTAATCGGATGTCCTCGAGGGACAAGCAAACTTAAAATTTAGGGAAAATGCTTAAGTACCCCCCTGACCTATGCCCGGATTCCCAACTACACACTTTTTCTTTGCGGGAATCCTATTACCCCCCTAAACTTATTTTAAATGTAATTATTTGCACCCTTAACGCTGACAACCAAACTCTTGGCAAGTGGTGAGCTACACACGCCCCCACATGTATTTTTAGTACTTTTTTTATTCTTTCTTCTTTTTCTTATTTCTTATTATTCTCATTTTTTTTGGTTATTTCATTCTCTTTTTTATTGTTTTGGTCACCGGCGGCATAAAATGGTGGTCGTCAGAATTTCACAAACACCATTTTTCCGGCAATTTTTTTTTTCCTGGCGATATTTTTATCCCGATCTAAGTGTGTTTTGTTTTATATATATAAAAAAATTTCTTGAAAGTATAGTTTGTGTGTGGGAGGAAGAGCAAAAGAAATAAAAATGAATATAAGCTGAGAAAACTTTTTCCAGTTAAAATTTTAATACATCATTTTTTTCCCGCGTGGGAAGGTTTTCCGATGATGAATTTTCCCCCCCAAATCTGAGTGTATTTTGCTTTGCTTATGAATAGATCTTTTTGAGAGTTTAATTTGTCTGTGAAAAGAAAAAATGGAAGAAAAACAGTTAGATAAAGTCGCCCGTGAATGAATATCCGCCGGAATTAGAGAAGAAACAAAAAAAAGTAAAAGAAAAAAGACAAAGAAAAAGGAAAAGGAAAAGGAAAAGGAAAAAAAAGTAAGAAAAAATGGTAAAAAAGAATAAAAAATAATCTGAAAATTGTTTTTTCTTGCTTCCCACTCTCCTTTGGGAGAGTGAAATACACACACTCTGCCACGTCAGCGTTAAGAGTGCAAATAGTTCCATTTAAAATAAGTTTAGGGGGGTAATAGGATTCCCGTAAAGAAAAAGTGTGTAGTTAGAAATCTGGGTATAGGTCAGGAGGGGTACTTATGCATTTTCCCTAAAATTTATATAGCAATTTTGTTCATTTGTTCACTTCTTCGAATGTTGACATTACTTACAGAACATATTACGTACTCCTTTGTAGATATTATACTCTGTGGTGTAGTATTAGGAATGAATGATATAGTACGATTCCCAGTATGTATTGATTCTTTAAAGCTGGCTTTGGTTGTTGATCCAACGGTGAACAGTTAAATGTGTGTTTAGAACTTTGTTAAGGTGAAAAGGTGCTTAGAACTTACAGACTGTTTTCCATAGGTTTTTTCACTCTGGACCTAATGTAAATGTAATAAAAGCTAAAACCTTAATCCCAACTAGTTGGAATTACCTATATGAATCCTTTGATTCCGTTGTGTTCTATAAAAAGTAAAAAAGGGTAGCCTGGTGCACAAATCATCCCCCATTCATGCATTAGTGGCTGCTTCCACTTAATCTCACGGCTCGTTTCTATTGTATTCTATATTCTAGCTAAATCGACATAGATTTCGAGAGATTGTACATCCTTTGATACAACTCCGTCCATCTGATTTTAGATCTACCGCGTCCTTTTCTATCATCTTCAATTCGCGCCCAAGGAAAAGTGCATATGGAGGTCTATGTAGGATGTTGGTCAAACAATTTAAAGCCACCTTCTCATTTTACCCATTGTACGTGCTACTTGCACCATTGTAACCATTTCCAGTGTTGTTCCAATGTTGGTGAACCTAAGAGAAGCTAAAGAGTAACATAGCAGACTACCGTATGGGCATATACAACAACAACAACGACCTAGTAAAATCCCACAAAGTGGGGTCTGGAGAGGGTAGTATGTACGCATACCTTACCCCTACCCCGATAGGACAGAGAGGTTGTTTCCGATAGACTCTCGGTTCAGGAAGATGGAAATAAAACAAGAAAAGACAATTCATCAGTATCGTCAACATAACCATAGAAATAGTGACAGCATCCTAAAAACCATACAATAGATGACATGCAATAACAATAACCAGCAAATAAGGTCCGGAGCTATGGAAAACAGTAAGGGTAGCGCAAACTGCAGAATTGGATCTTTTAAGTGAAAAAAAAAAAAAAGCAATTCGAGAAACAAAAAGAGGGGAAAGTGCAAGTACTCACAGCCTTCTCGCGAGCCCCGGGTTCAATTTAATTCACACTACAATTTAAATTGAACTAAATTGTTTTTACGACTCTACTTGAAGCTGTACCAATTTTTTGAACTAAATTATGTTTTCAGTTCTTGTGAGTTTTACTCTGTTCTTGTTTTTTCAAGTGAACCATGTTACTTCCCTGAAATCTTGGTGCGTGTCAAGTAGCTTCTCTATTTGTTTGAATATTTCAGTTATGATTCATGAATAAGCTTGATTTTCGTCTTTCTTTTTATCTTCTGATTAGCATCTAAAATTAGCTGCGATCTTCATCTCTTGTAGCCCTTTTCCCCTATGACCATGTTGAGAGACAGGAGCTGTAATTTATCTT